ACTCTGACAGATAACAAATCGTCCCAGTAAGAAATAATGATGAAAATTTACAAAAGAAAACAGTTGTACCGTATATAAATATATATTATTGATCATCTGATATACAATTAATGTCACTGTTATTAAGAGATAAGACTGCAGCTCAATCAAATTACACAAAATATAAAAGACAGTCAATCAAACTTCGCTATGTCTTTGCATGGTGGCGTAAACTACTTTTACGAAATCGATGAAATTTTCGCCAATTATTTTTAACTCTAAATATGACCATATGCATCTCTCTTTTTGACACTTAACCCACCTTAAGTGTAAGGCTAATTGAGATCGCGAAAAACGCTGAATGAATTCTACCTTTAATATCAATCTCAGTTATATCGCATAACAATAGGTTGCCAGCTATTGCGAACAAAATTCTCGTTAGAAAACCACATTTATCGTATGTCAGTTTTAAAAAATATTTTTAAGAACTCCTATAAACATAATATAAACTTTTTACATGGCAAATGAGAGTTTAGTAGTGTGCTAGATAATAGACCAACTCTTCACAAAATCTGCTTGTCAAACATACATGAATTAAAATTAATGCTTGGATCGTTACATTCAGTAAATTATTATTAGCATATATCAGTATAAAAAGCAAGTTTTCAATACAAGAAAGTAGGAAAATGGGGTAGCTGCAATAGACTAAAAAATCATTTCACATAACGTCTAGCGCACTAACTGATGCTGAAGAACTGCGTTCATCGATTTTCTGTTGTATCATCATCCTTCCAATTTGGCCCAATTAATTCTTTTAGAAATTCTTTTGTACACCATTCTTCTTTCTCAACATATTTGTTAATAAATGATTGTCCAGCTCCAATTCTACATCGATCAGATGACCATTCTGGCGTTATGACGCTGACAATAAAAGCAAATCCATTTTTTCCATGCCGTAGTTTTAGCGCTTTGGATGCAATCGTACCTGGAGTTACAATCACTGGTATCTCTCCAGCAGTGTAATCATGACCTAAGACTTTATGTTCAACATGGCCATCATCATAAAATAAGTAATAGTCTACACTATCGCCTTCGACTAATATGTGCAAATCATCACCATAATCTATTGAATGCAAATAGTTATATGCTAAATGAAGTTTATTTGGACATGAAGATGTTAACATATAATAAATATGACTTTGAGCACGTAATGTTGAGTTTGTTGGATGTGATGGAAGAGATACTTGTAAAGAAGAATCCCCAATGATTTGAAATAAACCACTTTCTGATGGTAACTCGATCAACTTAAATCGTTCGATTATGCTGTTCATACGAATAACAGAATCCTCATTTGACAATGATGCAGCATCATAATCTGTGAGGTTATGTGTAAGATTGGAGGTAGTGGATGCAGAAGACATCAAAATGAGATAGTTTACAAGTAAGAAAATGAAAGCGCGACATAACAATGTACGGTAAGAAAAAGTTAAAATTGACAGATAACGTGCAAATAAAAAAAGGAAAGGATAAAATAGTATGCTTGTTGGTAAATATGAGAAGAAACAGGACTGCCTGCCTATTGACTCTATTCATCAACTATGTTGATGGAAAAAAGCTAAAAGGTAAGGTCAAAAGATTTGATGATTCAAGTAAATAAGTCAAATAAAGAAACATAAGTTTTCTACGAGAATTAATAAATTAAAAATAAATAAAGCAAAAAGAAAAGTGAAAAAAGAAGCAGAAACGAATCTTATATATATTCTTCACTCGACAGAGGATATCTGCAGTATCCACAAGAACAAAATAACAACACTAACATTCAATATTAGATCTATTTGATTTAAAGTAGTATCATTCTGATATTGCAGCGTAAGGCCAGTCCAACTCGTAGTTGCAGTTAACTCTGAAGTTGATAGTGTTTTTCGTTATAGTCGAAGTGGAATTTCGCAACTAATGGGTAGAGTTAGAGTGAGATTTTACAATTGGCGAGCAGGGTTGCAGTTGAATCGAAATGGTCTGGAGCGGAATTGGAGTGGAGTTGAAGTTGATGTCTTTTTTCAACTTCCATTTAACTTCTGTTGATCTCATGATGTTGCCAGGGGAGAACGGAATAAAGTCGATAGGAAACAGAGAATCTAAAAAGTCATGAGTGACGTGATTAAATATTATTTGTTAAACTATCTTGAGAGTTGTGGCTATCGGTACTGATTAAAATAGTTACTCATACCCACACTCACTGGCATTCTGCAGAATTCAATTTTTTTTTGTTAATCAGAAAAAATCTTTATAATTGGCTTAAGCCCCCCCCCCCCCCCTCAGAAAAGTCAATTTTGGTCAAATTTATCGGTTTTGTGATTTATAACTCATTAGATAGAGCTAAGTGTCTACTCTCGAATGCACTATAGTTGATTGATTTTATCATGAGATTTAAGGATATTACATAGGTTTTTCTGAAGCCCCATATTGAAAAAAATAAGGTTTTTAAAAACTTATTTTTCGTTTTTCTCAAAATCAATTTTTTCGAGCATACTGTTTACGCGGGCAAGCTTTTCTTCATAATAACTCAATATATAAGTGATGATTTTTTTTAATGCATAGTAGATAGGTAGGGCTAGATCCTCCCAGGATCCGATTTTTGAATTCCTCTTTTGGTGAAATAAAAACCTTAGATATTTTATTTCTTAGTAGCAATTTTTTGGGGATGATTTCGTGAATTTTACAAAAGGGATTTTTAAAAAACAAACAGAGGAAAATTCAAAAATCGGGCCCTGGGAAGATCTGGCCCTAAGGGTACTCTACAACTTAAAAACCAGCCCCGCCTTGATAGCTTATATCCTCATGTTGAAAATCTTGCCCGCGTAAAGGGTATTTTTGACCAATGAATTGACTATAACTCGTGAATGACTCGCAGATTTCGGGAGATATTTTAACCATAATCTATTCTAGCCAAGACTAACATTCTCTGAAATTTTGGTTGAAATTGGATGAAAAATAACAAAGTTAGTTTCTGAGGGGGGGGGGCCCTTAATAAAATATTCAAAAGTTAATGTGTGATAAATTGACACTGTTTAGATATTTTTCAAGATTTTAATATTTTTAAAATTGGAAAACGTAAAAGTCAATCTTGAAAATCGTATTAATAGGATAATATAGTAATATCTATAAACACTCAACGTTAATTCGAAAAGCTTCGTAATTTCCTCGGAAATATATTACAGTCGAAAGCGCTGTATGTATCAAATGTTAGCAGCGCAACGACGATGATTCGAGTAAGCGCAGAATTTTACTGAAGAGAATACGAAGTTTAGTACGTGTTTCAAAGATTTAATCAGATAAATGAATGAATATATATATAGTAGAAAATCTAAAAGAAAATCTTCCCTTAATTTTCTCGCTGCAGTATGTTTTAATGAAGCTGACAGTGGCTCAGGAATGGGAGGATGGAAATAGATGTTTTCTCTGAATAACATATACTGTAGATACTTAACGAGATAAGTACACACATTTTAATAAAAGAAACTCAGCAAAAAATATTATGAAATGCTTCTGGTGATCAGAATATTGGTGCTGTCAAATTTTCACGGTCGAAAATATCTGCAGTGAAGGGTGTAATCAAACTTTTCGTTTTTATTTATTTTTGTCACAGATACTACTGTCATGTAAGGAGTAAATTTCTGTTTTTAGTTCTTGAATTTATGTGCAGCAGAGAAAAAAGTCAATTTTTATGCCAGTCTAACAGTCAAAAGTATGACCAAGAGCAATTTTATTCTATTTCTCGAACGATACCTCTTATTCTAGGGGATGCTAATGCTCACTTGTTTAGAAAATTGAATTACCATTTGCAACTTAATAAATAATTCTGGACGAGACGATAAATATGCCATATCCCTTCTGTTACAATTTAATTAAGTTACGCATGTATAGACAATGATATTCAACACATTTGTGAGTATTTATTCATCAGGTTTTTGTTAAATGAAAAAGAATTTTCCAAGACGAAATAGCCCTAAGGAATATAATATTTTGACTGTTTTGGATAATAACGGGGGAAACCATAATTTACCTTTTCGACAGTCATCATGAAACGTGAGTGTGGGTGGATGTGAGTGTGGGTGTGGGTGTGGGTGTGAGTAATGTTCTTCCTTCCTTCACATTCACACCCACACCCACACCCACATCCACACCCTCATTAAATATACATTGGCGAAAATTTCAGCTCGATCTGTATACTAAGAGAAAGCATCAATAATATGCTGAAAAATTTGCCTTCAGTTATAATGAGACGTCGTTGATACTCTCCAGGCGTTTTTCTTTTACCGACTCATGCGATTTCCTTGAGCATTCATCAATTTTTTGATAAGCTCTATATAAAAATTATTTTTCCGTCTTCCTTTCTGTTAACTTAAAGTTGATGAAAAAAGAAAGAAAAAAAGAGAATGTTTGTAGAAACTACTATTCTTTTTGTGCCCTTTCTCGGATAAAAAAAAGAACAAACATTTTGTCTACATTTACATATTAAAATTTTAAATTACATATTTGTCATCAGTATGGCCACTACTGCAGCAAAAGAAGCCCTTACCTATGCTCTTGAAGCATTTCCAAATGCATCACCTACTTTCCTACGAGAAATTTTATTCAATTACTCTCAAGAGGTAGTCTTATCAATTGGATTAGGTATTGCGATGCTCTGGGAATATATCTACGATCGTCTATTTGAACATGATCCAAAGACTATCGCTATTACAGCTTCTTATAGAAAAATACCTGAAAATGCATCCGCAGAAGATCGTGCTCTGATAAATCAAAGTCCGACAAACGGTTACAGCGAATCTGATAAGACAGTAATTGATGAAATTCTACGCAATGCAAAAGACGAGCGGCCAAAAGAACAACTGAAGATTTATTCGAAGGTGGGTACTCTGGAAGATGCAAGAACAGAGTTTGAAAAATTAAATGGCGATGGCAACGGTGAAAAGAAAGCAAAAAATGTCTGGGTGAAAATATTGACGAACGGAAAGACAGCCATAGTACGGGAAGAAAGTACTGATAAAAATGCTCTGGCTACATTCGAAGTTAAAAAACTTATTGGAGACGTTAAAATTCCGATAATCAAAGTTCGATATATTAAGATCTTGAATGATTGACGGGCAATACTATTAAAAACACATGAATACATTTTCGCAAGACCTCTATTTAAAATGTGACAATGTCTCAGTTTTTTGCTGCTTATTCACGCGCTCTGCTTTCCTCAACACTTCACCTCACATTACTACATTTCATTTCTTTTAATTCAGCTTTCTCCTTGTGTTAATTTTCATACTATTGTTTTGCTATAAACACTTCAAATTATTAACTTATCTCTGAATAAATTTTGTGTTGTCATTACTAATCGATTACGGACACTTAGAGAAATCTTACTAACAATGGAAGTGATTGTGTTCTTAGTTAAAAGGATAGCACATATTTAGATCAAATGAAAGTTCTTAGCAGAGGGTATCGACGTGGGAAATCACTTCCTTTTCATAGACGTCCACACATCCACACGCACAGCGTTCATTGAATTTTTCCACTAAAATGTCCGCTGGAGTGTCCAATCGAGAGTATGGATGCAAGTTTGTGGGTGTCTATGAAAAGTAAGTGACTGCCTACTCCCACGCCCGCACCCATACCCACACCCACCCACACAAAAAAACAACAGTGTCTATTGATAATAATATTGGACCGTACATCAATCGGTAGTACTTTTTTTTAACACCTGAGTCATATATTGTATTCTTTGCTGAAGAAAAAAGTCAGAAGAAAATAACAAACATATATGAGTGAAGAGCGCGCCCATTGTACCGTCGGATCTTGAGAAGAAAAATGTTCATAAGTCTATTATCCATTTCAAATTAAAAGAAGGGTGAGTATTTTTTGAATAGCTTCTCATAGAAACTAGCTAGAAGGCTGAAGTTTTCACTGTTTGAAAGAGGAAAGAAAACTGCACCGAACCTTGAATATCAGATTTTTCTGACAAGTTTTCTCAGGGACATCCGCCAAGTTTTTTAAAAAAAGAAGGCTTTTTAACATGTTGAAAACGTCAATTTTTCATCAAAAAATTCGAAAAAAGTGAATTTTTGATGGAAAATTTGCCGAAAACGTGTATTCATTTATGAATAACTTTTGACTGGCTTAACATTTTAATGCCCGACTTATACAGATTACTGAACTTCAGTTGTCGATTTTCGTTCACAACTCATACTTGCAATTCCAAAACTTTTACAAGATAAAATGTATTCTGCTGCAAAAATTTGACGGGTAGCACTGGAAAAACTTGTCAGAAAAAAACTGATATTCAAGATTCGATGCAGTTTGCTTTTCCCCTTCAAATGGTGAAAACCGCATTTCTCTATCTAGTTTACATCAGAAGTTATTCAGAAAATACTCACCCTTCTTTTAATTTGAAATGGATAATAGTTCCACTCAATCAATTTCTGTATTTTTATTTTTATTTTACTGGTTACAGATGATCATAGGGTGTGGTGTGGGTGTGGGTGTCGGTGTCGGTGTAGGTGTCGGTGTGGGTGTGGGTGTCGGTGTAGGTGTAGGTGTCGGTGTGGGTGTGGGTGTCGGTGGGCGAGATCCGATACACAACACCCACACCCACACCCACCCACACCCACACCCACACCCACATCCACACCCACCCACACCTACACCCACACCCACACCGACACCCACACCCACACCCACACCCACACCCACACCCACACCCACACCCACACCCACACCCACCCCACCCAAACCCACACCCATACCAATAAATCGCAAAAAAAAGG